GACGTGCCAGGGGACGTGCCATGGGCACGCACCGCGGGACGTGCCAAGGGGACGCGCTACGGAATCGTCCAATGGACGTGCACCGCGCGACGTGCCAGATGGACTCGCCACGGGACGCTCCGCAGAGCGTGCCAGGCAACATGCCAGGCTGCAATGCTAAGGGTATCGATATTGATGTACCGTGCCGAGGGCTGTGCTGTGCCTGGGCGACCTGGACACGTGAAAACACGCGTTTCGCTCAAGATTTTCTCATCACATCCTCATGCTAGACATCCGCCTGGGCAACCTGGACACGTGCAAACAAGCGTCTCGATCGAGACATCCTCAACACATCCTCATGCTAGACATCCGCCTGGGCGACCTGGACACGTGAAAACAAGCCTCTGGTTCGAGACGTCCTCAACAAATCCTCATGCTAGACATCTGTCTGGGCAACCTGGAGGCGTGAAACCAAGCGTCTCGCTCGAGACATCCTCAAGTCCTGGGCACGTGAAAACAAGCATTTCACTTGAGAGATCCTCTGAATTCAGGTCCCCAGGAGGGGACAATCTATAAGACAAAACATATGTTTCGCTCGAGGCATCCTCAACACATTCTGAAAAACAAGCGTTTCGCTCGAGACATCCTCAAACAAAGTTCGCTGGCCCTACGCGACCTCGTTATCTATCGCAAAATAATTCCGCCGGCCCTACAGCCGTCAGAACCGGGGGTAAACACACTAAAAGAGAACCCTGGGCTCGAGCCCTTTCCGGGAACATGTGGCTGTCGCTTTAGTGCGGTGCACATTCGTCTTAAACGCTTGTAAGAGTTTCACGGATGCCCATCATCAACGTGCCAGATATTGTGGTTTGGCAGGATTCAGGATTATGTTGGTGCAACAGTTATGTTGGTTTGCTGTGTTGAAGTCCCATGAATGGTGTTCTGGCACGACTCAGGATTGTCAATAGGCAACAGTCATGTTGATCCATGGCGTTGGAATCCTGAGAACAATGTTTTGGCATGCTTCAGGATGTTCAAACGGTTGTCTTCCAAAGAGGCAGTTCTTTCAATGGAAGTGAGCCGCTGTAGGTGCCTATGAGGACGGAGCTTGGAGGCAGGGTTTATTCCAACATCGTTGATGACTCTTGGGTTTGCACTGGTCCCTCCTTCTCCTCCTCCTTCTCCTCCTTTTCCTCCTCCTCTTCCTCCTCGTCCGTCTTTCCGGGGATCAGTTTTGGGCGGATTTGGGCCAGGGGGCGGGGCGAGGGGGTTGACGTTCAAAGAAGGCATGCCGTTTCTTAGCAGGGCCCGTGGGCTTCTAGCAAGGATTCTTAGAGGTTGGGAGGGCTTCCAATAAGAGGCCCCGAGGCCCCCCCGTGTGCGCGCCGCCGCCGGTCGTAAGTCTACCCTGGCCACATGTGGGCTATTTGTTCAATCGTTTCGCTCATTCCGCCTCATTCCACCGGCCTATGTGGTAGCATCGTTGGTACCTGCTTGCGTGCTCGCGGGGTCATTTTCGAAGCTTTGTGGGGCTTGGGGCCTCTGGGGGCCTTCTTTTGGGGGGGGGCGGCCTCTGGTGGCCTTTTGGGCGCCTTCTGGCAGTCTCGGAGGCTCCCTTTGGGCGAAGGGTTCGATATCTCAATTCGGGTTCCCCCTCTTGGGCCCCTGTTGGGCCGTCTTGGGGGCTCTCTTGGGCCGCTTTGGGGCACTCCTGGGAGTCTCTTGGGCTGTCTTAGGGCGATCTTGGGTGGCTCTTCGGCCGTCTTGGAGCGTCGACAGGCCGAAAAGGCGGGGCCTCCTTGGGAGCGTGGGGCGTTTGAGGGTTTTCTTGGACAGTGAATATACCATCTTGGACGTATCGGAACGCTCTTGGACTGTGTCGCACCCTCTTGGTCTCTTCCTGCAGGCCCCGTGGAGCGCTCCTGGAGCGCTCTTGGGGGTCGTGAAGGCAGCGCCCAGACCGAACACCATCTCTGATCCGAGTCGTGCGCTCTATGCCCAGAGTGCTTTCGTCCAGGGCCCCCCGGGGCCGCGGATTCATTCCCCAATCAGAGCTTGCCTCTGTAGGGGTTCTAGTGGATTGATATGGTCAGGTGAGGTTTGGCGCCGATTTCGGCGGCACGCCCGGGTGCCCGGTAGCCCTATAGCCCTATAGCCCTATAGCCCTATATCCCTATAGCTTTACAGCCCTATAGCCCTATAGCCTCATAGCCCTTGCGCCCTATAGCCCTATAGCCCTATATCCCTAATAGCCCTATAGCCCTATAGCCCTATAACCCTATAGCCCTATAGCCCTATAGCCGTACAGCCCTATAACCTTGTAGTCTGTAGCCTTATAGCCCTATAGCCCTATAGCCCTATAGCCCAATAGCCCTATAGCCCTATAGCCCTATGGCCCCATAGCCCTATAACCCCATAGACCTATAGCCCTAAACAGATGATGATTATTCTTTTTTCTACGGTACCATGTGGTTAGGTGAGGTTTGGCGCCGATTTCGGCGGCATGCCCGGGTGCCCGGGTGCCTCGGTGCCCAGGTGCCCAGGTGCCCGGGTGCCCGGGTGCCCGGTAGCCCTGTAGCCCTTCCGGCCCTATAGCCTTATAGCCTACAGCCCCATAGCCTTATAGCCCTATAACCCTAATAGCCCTATAGCCTTGATAGCCCTATAGCCCTAGAGCCCTATAGCCCTATAGCCCTATAGCCCTGTAGCCCTATAGCCCTGTAGTCCTACAGCCCTAATAGCCTCATAGCCCTATAGCCCAATAGACATAGCCCAATAGCCCTATAGTTCAATAACCCTATAGCCCTATGCCCTATAGCCCTATAGCCCTATAGCCCTATAGCCCTATAGCCCTATAATCCTCTAGCCCTGTAGCCCCACAGTCCTGTAGCCGTATGGCCCTATAGCCCTATCGCCCTATAGCGCTATAGCCCAATCGCCCTATAGCCCTATATCCCTATATCCCTCCTGGCCCTATAACCCTATAGCCCTATAGCCCAAACTTCCCTATAGCCCTTTAGCCCTATAGCCCTTCCGGCCCCATAGCCTGATAGCCTGATAGCTTTATAGCTTTATAGCCTTATAGGCCTATAGGCATATAGCCTTATAGCTCTATATGCCTATAGCCCTGTAGCCCTATCGACCTATAGCCCTATGGCCGTATAGCCCTATAGCCCTAACATGATCGACCAACGAACCCGGAAAGGAATATAGACATGTAGGCACGGCAACGTTTCGAAAGACACCTGATTGGGCGACGGGCAAATTAAGTGCTGAGTGTATCGATCTTGATGTACCGTGCCGAGGGCTGTGCTGCGCTGCGCCGTGCTGACTTGCGATGTGCCATGCCGCGATTGTGCTCTATAACGTTGTGGACCGAGTCCTCCTTTGCATCCGCGTCCTGACCGAACTGATCTGGATCTGAAGCTCGAGCTGCAGGCGCACATAGTAGCTGCCCCAGAGCTGGCCAAGGGGACGCGCTACGGAACGTGCTGGGGACAAGCGTTTGGCTCGAGGCATCCTGCCCAAATCTTCATGCTAGACATCCGCCTGGGCGACCTGGACACATGAAAGCAAACGTTTCGCTCAACACATCCTGAACACATCCTCATGCTAGACATCCGCCTGGGCGAACTGGACACGTGAAAACAAGTGGCTCGCTCGAGACATCCTCAACACCTCTTCATGTTCGACGTCCGCCTGGGTCACCTGGGCACGTGAAAACAAGCGTTTCGCTCGAGACTTTCTCAACACCTCCTCATGCTAGACATCCGCCTGGGCGACCTGGACACGTGAAAGCAAACGTCTCGCTCGAGACATCCTCAACACCTCTTCATGCTAGTCATTCGCCTGGGCGACCTGGACTTGCGAAAACAAGTATTTCGCTCAATACATTCTCAACACATCCTCATTCTAGACATCCGCCTGGGCGAACCTGGACACGTGCAAACAAGCGTCTCGATTGAGACTTCCTCAACACATCCTCATGCTAGACATCCGCCTGGGCGACGAGGACGCGTGAAAATAAGCGTCTCGCTCGAGACATCTTCAACAGCTAGACCTCTGCCTGGGCAATCTGGAGGCGTGAAACCAAGCGTCTCGCTCGAGACATTCTCAAGACCTGGGCACGTGAAAGCAAGCATTTCACTTGAGAGATCCTTTGAATTCTGGTCCCCAGGAGAGGACAATCTATAACACACAACAAACGTTTCGCTCGAGACATCCTCAACAATTTCCGCAAAACAAGCGTTTCGCTTGGGACATCCTCAAACATAATTTCGCCGGCCCTACACGACCTCGTTATTTATCGCAAATCATTTCGCCGGCCCTACAATCGTGGACTCCGGGGGTAAACAGCTAAAAGAGAATCCTGGGCTCAGGCCCTCTCCGGGAAAATGAATCCTTGTAGGGGCCTATGAGGTGGGACCCTGGAGAAGGGTGTATTCCAATATCGTCGGTGGGTCTTTGGTTTGCACTGGTCCTCCATCTTCTCCTCCTCTTTCTCCTCTTTCTCCTCTTTCTTCTCTTTCTCCTCCCCCTCCTCCTCCTCCTCATTATGGTTAGCATCCTCCTCTTTATCGTTCGCTTCCTCCTCCTCTTCCTCCTGTTCCTCCTGTTCCTCCTCCCTCCTCCCTCCTCCCCCTCCGCCTACGGAAGAAATCCGCAACCACATGCGCAACTAAAGGTAACTGCGCTTCTTTTAAGCGCTAACTTGGACGGCGCTCGGCCAACGCACAGTGCACTGCTCGTTCCTCGTCTCGCCTCCCTCGTCCCTTCTTCTTCTCCTCCTTCTCCTCCACATACACTTCCTCCTCTTCGTCCTCCTGCTCCTGCTCCTGCTCCTGCTCCTGCTCCTCCTCCTGCTCCTCCAGTTGTGCCATCGAGTGCCTCTGGCGTGTGACTTTGGCGAGCCCCCCAAAGTCCTGAGCTTGACAGTGTTTACCGAGGGGGGAGAGGGAGAAGAGATCGGTCCATGACCACTTTGGCTCAAGTCCCTTTTCTCCACAGCCAATCCCGACTTCCTCACCACACACCTTTCCCCCCTTTCCACACACACTCTCCCTCCGCCTGGAGGGCCACCGAGCTGATAGACAGAACCTGGGTACTGTTCAGGGGGGACATCGCCCGTTTGAGAGCACCGTCGCCTTCGAAAACGTCATCGTCAGGGAGACAGTGGTAGCGGAGCGTCTGAGGACGCTACCGTGGATCTGCGGAAGTCATGACGGGATCGGAGAGCGGTGATAACTCTAACGACGATATTAGGAACAGGGGCCAGGAACCTATCGAGCAGGTGATAGGGATTGCTCAACAGTGGCGCAACGAGGAACGGACAGTTTCAGATCACGATGGAACAGATGCGAATCCTTCTCGACCAGGCCAGAAATATCATGGTGACTGCAGCGTCGAGTACCGGCCAGGGCGAAAGCCCAGAGGCCACGGCAGGCGTGAGCACAGCCAAGGACGGTCAGGGAGAGAAGGGAGATCCGTGGCAGCAAGAAGGACGAGATCCGTGGGATCGACCTCATCGTTCAGACGGCTGGTGGCACGATTTCAGCAGCTGGAAGAACTACGTGGACGGCTGGACAGACAGATCCCACGGGTGGGGGTATGACGGCTGGGAGAACTGGAATTGGAATGACAACGCTTGGAGCGAGCCGTCGACTGGACAGAAGTGGAAGAGCGACGAGAAGCCCAGAGGAAAGGACTTCATTCACCCGGAGGCGTGGTCCGGGTGGCCAGAGTACAAGCTGTGGCGAAGGAAGATAATGCGTTGGAGGCAAACTACGGATGTGGAGAAGCACAAACATGCAGACCGCATCATGAAGTTGTTACCGCTGGATCTCCAACGTAAGCTAGAATATATCACAGACGAGGATCTGATCTCCGACAGCGGCGCAGACAAGGTCGTCGCCAGGCTAGACTTGCTATCTGGAGAGAGAGAGAGAGAGAGAGTCGGATATGAAAAACGTAAGGCAGGACGGGAATGTCTCTTCTCGTTCCAGCGAAAGCAGGGAGAAGGACTCACAGAATACGCAGCGAGGCTGGATCTTGCTTTTGACAAGGTCGGAACCCTCGGCCTTCCCCTGCCGGACGACTGGAAATACATGTTTCTGGAAGAGGGTGTCGGCTTGGGTGAGCGAGACACCCAGTTGATGAAGTTACAGATGCGATCCAAGGATTCGTATCAGGAGGCGCTGGCGGCCATTCGAGAGATGGACGTGACCAGACGCGAGCATCTAACGCACCAACGGTCCAAGGCTTACCACGTCGAGCAGTCGGAGGTCGTCGGGCAAAGTTTCCCTGTACATGAGCCCAACTCCGCCGACGACCAGGACACCGACTCGCTACTCGACTGGGATGATGTTTCATCGCTGGACACGGAGGGTGCAGCAGAAATATACGTTGCTCTAGATAAGATGGAACTCTACGATGACGAGCTCAAGTACGTTTTCAGCGCGATGCAAGAGAAGAGGCGTAAGACCTGGGAGCAGAATCAAGACCTAACATGATGGACCCACGAACCCGGAAAGGGATATAGACATGTGGAGCATGGGCACGTTTTCACGATACCCAACGGGGCAACACCTCACGAAACATCCCACGAGACACCTCACGAAACATCCCACGAGACACCTCACGAAACATTCCGCGAGACACCTCACGAAACATTCCACGAGACACCCCGCGAAACATTCCACGAGACACCCCACGAAACATTCCACGACGACAGGCAACCACTCAACCAAGGCGGTGTGGTCGTGCTGGGGAGTGGTCGTGCTGGGGTGTGGTCGTGCTGGGGGGTGGTCGTGCTGGGGGGTGGTCGTGCTGGGGGGGTGGTCGTGCGTGCTGGGGCGTGGTCGTGCTGGGGCGTGGTCGTGCTGGGGCGTGGTCGTGCTGGGGTGGTCGTGCTGGGGCGTGGTCGTGCTGGGGTGTGGTCGTGCTGTGGTGAGGTCGTGCTGGGGTGTGGTCGTGCTGGGGTGTGGTCTTGCTGGGGTAGGTCGTGCTGGGGTGGTCGTGCTGGGGTGTGGTGTGGTCGTGCTGGGGTGTGGTCGTGCTGGGGTGTCGTGTGGGGTGTGGTCGTGCTGGGGTGGGTCGTGCTGGGGTGGGGTCGTGCTGGGGTGTGGTCGTGCTGGGGTGTGGTCGTGCTGGGGCGTGGTCGTGCTGGGGTGGGGTCGTGCTGGGGTGGGGTCGTGCTGGGGTGTGGTCGTGCTGGGGTGGTCCGCACCCTGTGATTTATCGATCGGGTCGTGCTGGGGTGGTCGTGTCGTGCTGGGGTGTGGTCGTGCTGGGGTGTGGTCGTGCTGAGGTGTGTTCGTGCTGGGGTGTGGTCGTGCTGGGGCGTGGTCGTGCTGGGCGTGGTCGTGCTGGGGTTTGGTCATGCTGGGGGTGTGGTCGTGCTGAGGTGTCCCGCACCCTGTGATTTATCGATCGGGATTTCAAAAACAAGCGTTTCGCTCGAGACATCCTCAAATTTTAATTCGCCGGCCTCCTTCGACCTCGATATTTATCAGGGAAAAAATTCGCCGGCCTCCTTCAAGTTGGCACCGGGGGATTAGGTTTACCAACTAAAAGAGAACCCTGGGCCCCCGCCCTTTCCGGGAAAAAAGAAAGCTCAAGGTGGATCGCAAGTTCTTCGACCGCTCCAGGGAGATCGAGATCAAAGTAGGAAATCGAGACAAGGGACGGCTCAAGAAAGGACATCGCTCGGCAAAAGGAGAACATCGACCCAGACGCAGTCGACTGCCCCTCGCTGAGTTGATCAAGAGGACCAAGTGCAGATCATGCGGGAAGAAAGGCCATTGGTCACGCGAATGTCCAGACCGGGACGGCCAGAGCCATGGTGCCACTGCAACCGGAGGAGGGACGGCGTCATTCGTCACAGGCTACGTGCGCGCGAACGCGGTCGACCCCAGCGTCGTGAGGAACGAGAACGGCGACGGGGAGCAGTTGGCGCAGCAGGACGAGCTGGTGCTGCTCACCGCCCCGCCCGGGGAGGCCGCGGTGGACACGGCGGCAGGACAAGGACTGATTGGACTGCCATCTCTGAACAGGCATGTTGAAGTTTTGAGAAGCAAGGGCCTCAGGGTCCCGCTCGTGGCCCCACGGCGCCCATCGGCCAGGGGGGTGGGCGGAGGCGCGAGGGTGCTCCACGCGGCCCTCATCCCAACGGGGGTCCAGGGGAAGTCCGGGATCATTGAGCTAGACGTCCTTAGAGAGGACGTTCCGCCCTTGCTTCCAGTGGGCTTTCAAGAAATGCTGGGGTCCAATATTGATTTGGAAGAAAACACCATGGACCTCAGGCGATTAGGCGCGACGGTAAGAATGCGGCGTCTGTCCAGCGGGCATCGCGCCATCAAGATTGATGATTTCCCGGGCTCCGGCAAGGATTTTAAATGCCTGGGGCGGTCTTTCAGCGCCATCCTTCTCTGGAAGAGAGTGATTTTCACTGTGGTGACAGCCGCTCAGGCAGCTCGGGAAAGCACTCGCCTTTCAACTTTGCCTCCAGCGTCGGCCGAGGGGACCGTAGGGGCCTAGTCGAGTCCGGCCGCGGCGTCTCCAGGGTCTCCGGGACGGGTCCTACTGTTTCCAGCCTGGGCATCCGGGAACCTATAAACCTTTCAGGTCGGCCGTTTCCAAGAGATGAGGGCTGGTTGAGCACGGATCTTCGATCTGGATCAGGTCGCGGGGATGAACGCACTAAGGGAGGCCAGCCAGGAGGAAGAGAGGCGAGGGGGGCCAGTGCCACGGGGTCGACCTGGTCGGGATCGGAGACCCGGGCGAGACGCAGCTCGTGGAGACGAGGTTGTCTGGCAGTATCGTTTCTATTCGGACAGCTACTCGGCTCAAGCATCTGGGCCACCTGTTCTCCGTGATCCTCTTGGCATTGATTACCGAGCTCAGGAGCTCACCACAGCAGGCGATCACCATGCCGAGAAGTCAGCCCACCGAGGCACAGCTTCGAGAGAGACGCCCAGCCACCATGGCCGAGCAGATGGCCGGGAGCGGTACGACGTGGACATACGCAGTGACGGGCACGACGGTACCAGGCAATCTCAACAAGGCACAGCGTGGCTGGGCCAGCATGGTCGGTGCTTCAATGTTCTGGCACAACAAGATCGCCGACGAGTTCGGACGCATGACGGTGACGCGTCGCTTTTTTCCCACCAACTTGCCCAAGCAGCTCAAGGTCGTTCCTCAGGCGTACTTCAGCTGTTGGCATCCACCGATCAACGTCGAGCACGGCAGCAATGGATATGGCTCTTGGTGGGTATGCTCTGGGCGTACTATGCGAATGGGGTATCTCGACAAGAAGCCAGACAATGCGAAGAAAGACCCAGACGTGATCTGCCTGTGCAAGCGCAAGACCGCAGCATGTTCCCTCTGCGGTCGTGGCTTCGCCCAGCAGAAGGGCGCCGACCCGGAGTGGAGGGCTTTGGTGGCCGCTCCGGCACCGCCGCCAGGCACTCGCGGGTTCACCCCCGCTGGAGTGCCGCCGCCCTGGCCAGCTCGGGCGGATCCAGGAGCCGCCCAGCCGTGCACAAGGGCGAGCGAGGCCGACCGGGCGGACTGGATCATGGACGAGGCAGAGGAGGACCTGAGGCGCAAGCAGCAGATTCAGCGGCAGGAGGCGGTCTCAGCTGCGGCAGCGGCTTCTGGACCACCTACTCCGCGGGAGCAGCGCAACAGGAAGACGGAGAATGGCGAGGATATCGGGGAGGTAATCAAGATGTTGGAAGACATGAGTACCAAGCAGGAGCAGCAGCAGAACGCGATCGACCAGCTGACGAAGATCACGTCCGGCCAGATGCACGCGATGGCAATGCTCCAGTCCCAGGTGCAAGCGCAGAGCCCGGTGAAGGAGCAGCACCTGGTCAAGGAGCAGCCGCAGAAGATGTCACCGGGACAGTCCTTGTCGAGTCCAGAGAGGAAGCCAGGCACTGCATAACCAATCCCAATGGCGATGGCAGAGCCAGCGATGCCGGGAAAGGGGTTCGCCTCGGTGGTTCTCCCGAACGGCGGCAGAGGTGCTCCATCAGTCCTGCCTGGAGGACCAGGTGCGCCAGGAGGAGTTCCCCACCACTA